AGAGAGAGAGAGAGAGAGAGAGAGAGAGAGAGAGAGAGAGAGAGAGAGAGAGAGAGAGAGAGAGAGAGAGAGAGAGAGAGAGAGAGAGCTGAAACACGAGTTCGGACTCTGGTCGGTGGTGTAGGCTAGAGGCATGGATTGACAGTCCGTCAGGTAGTGGAAAATACACGCCGTTAGATTATGTGTCTGATGCCGTGAGCTGCAGCCATGCCTGAATATCAGCCTGCCGTAGCTATTGCACAGTCCGTCCGTTAATGACTGTTGGAATGTGGATGGTTGGGTAGGGTAGATGCATGGTTACCAGCTCCTCCCCTGTTCGTGATGAAGGTGGAATATCAGAGTCTGGTGGGTGGGGTAGGCTACATGCATGGTTTCCAGCTCCTTCCCTGTGATGAAGATGGAATATCGGATTCTGGTGGGTAGATGCGTGGTTTCCAGATTCTCCCTTTTTTTTTTCTTTTTTTTTTTTTTGCTCCTCCCCTGTTTTATCAAAAAGAAAAAGCCAGCGACCTCTACATGAATCATGACCAGCTCCTCCTCTGTCCGTGATGAAGATGGAATATCAGATTCTGGTCGGTGGGGTAGGCTAGATGCGTCGATTGACAGTCTCCAGGGAGCCGAAAATACCTGCCCTTAGATTATGTCTGATGCCATGCGCTGCAGCAATGCCGAACGGAAATAAGCCTGTGGCATAGTGACTGGCCGTAGCTATTGCACTGTCCACCCCTTAATGACTGTTGGAAGTGGACGGTGGGGTAGGGTAGATGCGTGATATCCCTCTTGTCCCCCCTCTGTGATGAATATTGAATATTGGAATGTGGTCGGGGGTGTAGGCTAGATGCAGGGTTACCAGCTCCTCCCCTCTCCGTGATGAAGGTGGAATATCAGAGTCTGGTGAACGGGGTAGGCTAGATGCGTGGTTTCCAGCTCCTCCCCTGCCGTTGATGAAGATGGAATATAAGATTCTGGTGGGTCGGGCAGGCTAGATGCGTGGTTTCCAGCTCCTCCCCTGTCCCGGCTGTCCGTGATGAAGATGGAATATTGGATTCTGGTCGGTGTTTGACAGTCTCCCAGGGAGTGGAAAATACCTGCCCTTAGATTATGTCTGATGCCATGAGCTGCAGCCATGCCCGAATATCAGCGTGCCATATCAATCATTATGCGATATCATTTTTATTTTTATTTTTTTAAATCAGATATTAAACTGATCAGAACAGATACCACACTTTCTTTCTCCCGTCCCAGTAACGGTCGCACCTCTCCAACCTCCGTTGCTCTTCCCTCATTTTGGCTGCATCTGGCCGGAAATATAGCTTGCATGCGTTCAATTTCAGGGTGCGTTATGTTGGGGGGAAACAGGTAGTCAGTTCCCCGAACCTGACGGCTGCCTCACGCGAAGTGACCATATGCGCCATCACGGCGCTTCGAGTCTGGTGCCTTGTGTCTTGGGAGTCTTGCTCTGTAATTATTCGAGGAAGCCCTCGTAAGCGAGACGCGTGTGGCACCTTACGCTGTTATATATAAAACCTTCCTTCTTTGTTCGCAGCCAGAGGCTGCACTTACCATGACTGTTCTTTTGTCGTTTTCTGTAGTTGCTTTTTTGGGAAATGTCGTGGACCTCAAATGAGGTTTGGCGGGTCGTTTTGGGGTTTAGGGAAAAGTGGAAAGGGTGCGGCCGTGGCTAGGAGACGGACCGGTAGTGCGAGTGGTCGTGCTAGGGTTTGGGTAGTGTACGTCCAGTGGTCGTTTCATTTGGTCGTTGGGCTTTGTTGCTGTCAGCGACCGGGTTTCCTTTTTGGGTGGAGGGTTGATTTTTCTTGGGCTGTTCTTGGGGTCTATTTGGGGGTTATCTTGACTCTTCGTTTTGTCGTTTTCTGTCTTTGCTTGTCGTGGATGTTGGTTGAGGTTTGACGGGGTCTTTTTGATGATGAATGATGAATCGTTCGTTTGGGGACGTTCCGGGATGGGTGGATGGGTGGAAAAAAATGGAGAGTGGGGGGTGATCAAAATCGATCGACGACCCAATCTTTCGACTTGAAACGAAACGATGTGATGTGGCGGTTGGTTTTCTCGGGTTTTTTTTATTAACGGTGTAGCCAGATACATTTATGTCTGGCCGCAATTACAATCAGATACATTCGTCGGATACATTCGGAAGAGTGGTAGTGAGTATGCCCTAAGATTTGTGTCTGAATTCTGGCTGCAATTACAAATAGATACATTCGCAAGAGTTATTTTACTATTTATTTTTTACAATTTTTTTTATTTTTTTTTATGGTGTTCGCAGCCAGAGGCTGTGCTTCCATAATCCACGACGGGAGGGTCTTGTCTCGACAACTTTTTTTTTTTTTTTTACTATTTTATGGTGTAGCCAGATATATCCATGTCTGGGCGGAATTCTGGCCGCAATTAAATCAGACAGATACATCTATGTCTGGCCGGAATTCTGGCCGCAATTACAATCAGATACATTCGGGTCGGAAGAATGGTATGGTATGGTAGTGTGAGTATGCCCTGAGCCACCTTTTTCCCCCGACCCCGAATATGGAGGGCGTTGTTTGACAATCGACGGGAGGGCCTTTATGGTGTTCGCAGCCAGAGGCTGTGCTTCGATAATCCAGGACGGGAGGGTCTTGTCTCGACTCGACGACTTCAAACGTCAGTCAATGATACGACTCCATGTCTGGCCGGATTTCTGGCCGCAATTACAGTCAGATACATCAGATACATTCGGAAGAGGTGGTATGGTGTGTGAGTGCGCCCTGAGGTACCTTTTTCCCCCGATTATTGTTTTTTATTATGTTATGGTGTAACCAGATACATCCATGTCTGGCCGGAATTCTGGCCGCAATTACAATCAGATACATTCGCGTCAGGAGAATGGTATGGTAGTGTGAGTATGCCCTGAGCTAGAGGGTCTTGACGACGATCGACGACTTGAACGTCGAGTCAACGATTCGTCGACGACTTGAACGTCAGTCGACGACGGGAGGGCCTTGTCGACGACTTGAATGTCAGTAGTGGCTGCTGGCTTTGGTTTTTTTCGGTGGCAACGTAGACGTCGTTGACATGGTAGTTAAGGGATAGATGCAAGATAAGTGCATAGGTGCATTAGATAGGTCGATTAGATTTGGGTAGATGCACTGGATTTGAAAATTTGTATTTTCCAAAAATGCGAAGACAAGGAATACCAAATAAGGGAAAAAAATAAGGAAGAAATAGGGAATAAGAAAAAAAGGAAAAAATGAAAAGCCACAATAGGTTCCAGGTTGTATTTATGAGGACTTGGGCCCCGGTTGCTTTTGGTCTGAGTCGTGCAGTGGGTGTATACGTACTATAAAAGGTTAGTATGCAAGTAGAAAAAGATGTGCGAAAAGAAGTTTGTGTTAGTTGTGCGTGATGTCAAACAGTGCTCTCGTGATTTCGTAATCACATGTGAAAGCCTGCGAATGCCCGGATAGATGCAAAGGAGAAAGTCATTGTATGCACTAGTGCGTGCACAGACTAGCAGCAGACAACGGGCACGAGGGTGGCATGAGTGAGTAGGGGTTGCATTCTTTGCTGGGATCTTGTCGTAGTGTGCGCTTCGAGGTTCTTGTACTGCTGTTGAGATGCAATCTTGACCAAGGATACATACGAGGAAGTGAGAAGGAGAAGGGAAGGCAGGAAGTAGGACCACGAAGCAAGA